TTGTTTTTTGCTCTTTCCCCCCCCCCCCCCTTTAATTTGAGAAACATTAGCAAACTCTTCAGTCGGCATCATGGCTTATATAAGGGAATGTGTGACAGAAACTGTTCCCTGGAACAGAATGTTATAAATATGCTAATTAGTGCTTATTAAAACAGCACGTTGATTTCTACAGTTAGATGCAGCCTCACCCTCATGTGTGCCTGCGCCTCACCGGGGAGCGCTCCCCTGCGGCTCCCCTCCTGCCTCCCTGGCATCCCGCTGCCTGTCCCCCCGGCACGGGGACACCGAGGCAGCACGGCAGAGGGTGCCCAGCTGCAGGGCCTTGCTGCAGGAGACGCTTTGCTACCTGCTCGGTTTGCACTTACACAGAGGTGCCAGATGTTTCGGAAGGAGCCAGGCAGAGGTGCACGGGTCTGTGCCATGCCGGCACTCGGTTGGCAAGGAGAGGAGCCCAGCTCTCTGGTCTCCGCTTCCAGTGGCTTCCCTGCCCTTGGTGTGCAAAGCAGCGGGTCCTGTCCGTGGCAGCAGTGTCCTTCTCCAGGGCTGGCACTGCCTGCTCCCGTGCTTGGCTGTGTGCTGCCAGCCTCCCTCCTCCCAGTCCCTGCTGCTGAGCAGGCTGTGAGAGCTCTGAGTATAATCACACTGTTTTAGTGAGTCTTTGTCTCAGGCATAAGCTTGTTAACCCTTTGGCATCAGTAGCTGGGATGTACTGCTTAGTGTTTTTATCTCTCCACCGCTGTGGCTGTCCAGGGTGAGGAGTACCTATGTGTTGGCCTTGGTGGAGTTTAATAAACTTGCTTTCTCTACATTCAGAATCAGAATATCTCCGGTTATTATGCTGGAGCATTCCCAAACAAATACTCTATATTACAGGAATAAATCAAGTTAAATATCAGCTTTTTCTGCACAAAAAAAAAAAAAAAAAAAGAATGCAGTCTACTTTCCAGAGAGTGAGCTGGCAGATGGAGGTCCCCACAGAGCCAGGCATCAAGGTTTAGGGGATGGAAAACAGCTCTGGTTTGGAAAATAGCTCAGGGACAAGGGCTCGGGTGTGCGTGGTCCCAGCTTGGCGTGTTCAGCCCCAGGACGCAGGGTGACCCTCTGTGCTCCCTGGTGGTCTCGGGTCTTCTTGGGCTGTGCCCCGCTGCTGCCTGCCGCGGGGTCCGTCAGAGCCCCCGGGAGCTGCAACTGGTGGCGGTCCTCCACTGGGCTGGCAAGGGGAAGGAGGGTGTTCCTGACTGGAGAAGGCAGCACTTGGCACAGCCCGCCCTGGGCTTGCTTTGCTGTAATATAAATAGAGGAAAGTTAAATTATGTGGCTTGCTCGTATTTTTGTAGCTAATCAATCTGTCATGCTATCAAGCTGTCAATCTTTTCTGGGGGTTTTATGGTGTTTTTCTGAGTGGGGCTGATTCTATTGCCTCTGCAGTTATGGATTAGAGTGCAATGAGAGACAATTTTTGCGTCCTGTGATAATCTTCAAGCTGTAAAATGCTTTCCTCTCCTCTCTTGGTATGAAACGTGGCAGAAGAGCTGGCAGTTGGCGCACTCGGGCAGGGACTCGGTCTCTGACTTGCGGAGTTGTGCTCTGGCCCCTGGGCATGTGGTGAGGTTTGGGTGCACGCTCCCTCCTTTACCCACGTGCATCTTGTGCACAGGTCTGTTCAGGGCATTATCAAACACAAACCCCTGCGCTGGGTGCATTCGCTTGTTTGAATCTTTTTGTATTTACAGTGCAGTGGGTCCCAATCTTTTTCTTTACTCGCTGTGCCATTATCAGCCGTTGCTGAAGCCTGCTCATCAGTGGCTGTCATCCTGAGATCTTAGCTGTATCCGTGCTGCAGTCACCATAGGAACTGCGATGCCAGCATGCTGGAGCCAGCTTTGAGACAGCCCTTGGCACACCAAGAGCACTGAGCTCGGAGCAGACTCCTCTGCACAGCTGGACGGGCTGCGGCTCCGTGCTGCAAGCTGTCACGCTGGCACCGCACCGCCCAGCTGCCACGGGCAGGGTCGGAGCGAGACGGCGTCGGAGATGGTCGCATAAGCCCCACAGGCTGTGAGCAGCCCTGTCTCCTGCTCAGAGAACAAGGCCGAGTCTGCTAATGCTTGTGCAGACTTTGTGCCTGTCACTCAGGGCGCAGAAGGTATTTTCTCGATTGGCCATAGACCAGAGCCTGCAGTCTCTTCTGCATATGCAAACGCACAGTGATTACAGCATCCCGAACAGCATTAGTCTCAATGTGCGCTTCTGGAGCTGCTCGCTCTGCCAGCCCAGATGTGAGAGAGAAACATAGTAACGTGTGGCTTTCAGCATCCCTCTGCACTCACCCAGACACACGCTCTCACACTTGGCCTCTTTGCTGTGGGTGTAGCGCAGCTGATTTTTAGGCAGCTGCAAAGTCCTTTTGCCTTTCACGTTTCAGTAAAGCAGGGCTGGTTGGCTCAGCTGTGGTTCAGGATTGCCACGTCGTTGGGAAGCTACCGCATGAAACATTTACAGTCCATGTAAGCCCTGGAGCAGTTTTTGCATTTAGTGTGGTACACCGGCCAACCTCTGCCTCTCGCTGTGCTGCAGAGACCAAGCGCGTTGGTGGTAGCCGTGTCCCCGGTCGGGTGGGAATCGCGCACTGACATCTCAGTGGCACCCACTGTGCTCGCTGGGGTTTTCTGCTGTGCAGGACAAGCTCCGATCGCCCCGGCAGAGTTCAGCTCCCCTACGGTGTTATTTACTACAGCCAAACCCTGTTTGCCAGCAGCTGATTTTACCTTTACATTTGATCTGTGTGTACCCCCAGGGAAGTCTCCTGGTGGGTTTATCCCCAAACACATGCCGTTACTAACAACAACACGCTCT